ATATATATATACATAGTTGTATATATATATACACACATATTATATTCGTTCCCCGGCTTCCAGGCAGCCGCTTCAAGACACGGGTGCGCTCTGCTACTGCAGTATGGGGGCAACACCCACACTGAATCCTGTTTGGAAAACCCTCCCCCAGCAATTACATAATTACCTAGCTTACGCTGCTATGATCTCAACCGCATTTCCGGGCTCCCGAAGGCAAAACATTTTTACCTAGGTGGCGACAGGAAACGCAACGCTCCCAAATTGCCCGAGACGCACGCAGCGCGCCCATGTCTGCTCAGCATCAGGTGGGCGAGGCGAGGCGACTGCAAGAGATGGTATCTCCACCTCAAAGCAAGCACTGAGAAAGATTGAATGGTCCAGTTTCACTCATTATGAAAAGAGGCACGGCCAAGGGCGGCCAGGGGACCCAGAAAGCCACTCCGGTGACCGGCGCACCGGGCTCGGCACGGAGCCGCAGCAGCGCACAGCTCGGCATCTCCCGGCCCAAGGAGAGATCGAAAACCTGGACAGCTCGGGTAACCGCTCGGGTAACCGCTCGGGCAACCGCTCCTGTTCGGATTCCCTGACTCCGAGAAATGTGTATAGGAACAGAACGACTAGGAGCGTGCTGCACAGGGGAGCGCAAGCTCGGACGGATATGGCAAGCACCTTCCGGCCAGCGGTGCGAGTAGGAGAGATCGTAGCCCCGCATGCACTCCTACAGCACCACATTAGTCTCGGTCCAATGGCTTCTTCAACAGCACAGAAAGTGTTTCAACAAATCCAAAAGCTTAAGGTCGCATTCCTTGCTACCAAAGGGGCGAAGCGACCCAGCCGGCACCCTCGAATCCGCAACAGGCTGTCATCCACCAGGGCAGCATTCACGCGAATGGACTTTGGGATCATCAGAGGTTCGGGGAAACCTCTCTTCTTCAACTTCTCCAGTTGCAACTGCAGTAGCCGCCAGTGGCCAAATTCTAAGATTCCGTCCTCGTCAAGACCCTCCCAAACAAAAATATCTGAGGCGAGATCGGCATTATCTGCACAGTGGACGTTCTCAAGCCCGTTTTGCTTGAACAGCACCTCCAAGCACTTGCGCAACAGCATGCGCTGCTCGACCACGACAACCGCGCAGCCGAGTCGGCGAGCAAGTGCGGCTGTGAGGCCGCAGCCACCGAAAACCGATACTCTCACAGCTTTCCCCTTCTCCTGAAGTGACCTGACGGCTTCATCCACCAAAGGCAGCAGCGACGCTCCCAATGAACACGGGCGCGAATCCCAATCCTGTCGCCCAACACGCTTTGCAAGCTCGACCGGTGCGAAGAGTTCGGATAAACGGCCACCGAATTGGAGCAGGATTTCGGCATCCTCCCGCGCGCATCCACTCAAGCTTGCCAGGATTGAAGCTGGCTCATCACCTGATGCAAACTTCTCCAACAAAGCATCGCAAGAGACCGATGCAAAGCATGGACGTAGAAGATCGGCACGCATCATATTGCGATCTCTGGACTTTGCCAGCTCGAACTTCAGAATGTTGAAGGCGTGAACAGCTTTGTCTTTGAGCTGCGCCTCAAGTTCAGTCAGGCCAGGAAAACCACCACGCGTACCTGCAATCTCCTGCCAGGATCTGACTTCCGCCTCGCCGGCGACATGCAAATATTTCAGCAGCGACTGCAGCAGCAAGAATGAAGCCATGTCCTGTTGGGGCTTGTGAGATGTGTACTCTACATGGACATATAAGTGTGTGACGTCCCTGCTTGCGGGCAGTCCTCACACGGCCTCCTCAGCACATTTTGTGCTTTCTCCAGCCAGGCAGCAAACGCCTGCGATGGTGCAGTCTCCAGGTCTCGTCGCAGGTACCTTGCTGGGCCCCAGCGATGAGGAGTGTGCAGGCCGGCCCTCCACGTCGACCAGCGCTGCTTCCTCAAGGATGTTCGTATGCATTCCCCGTGATTCACGCCCGAAACATTCATGCATGTCAATGTGCACGTTGAACGGCCCTGTCGCGGCTGCTGCCTAGTGCACACTTTGCTCGTCCTCGTTCCTCGGCACCTGCAGCACCTTTCCTACTCACTGATAGCACTGGCACCACAAAGCCAGCAGCAGGAACAGCAGCAAGAACAGCAGCAGCAGCAGCGCTACCATCATCACCATTATCAACAGCAGCCAGCAACATGCGAGTAGTCATCCTCATCGCCGTCTGCAGAACCGATAGAAAGGCCCTCGAAGACGCGCGCCCTTTGATATCTTTTCCATGCTGCCCATGGCCCACCAGAAACAGGAAGAGCTTAGTTTACTGCTGTCATCTCAGACAGCGTCCGAAGACAGGTACGGTTGGTCAGCCCTTTCGTGATCACCCGCGCCGACATTCAAACGTCTACCACAGTCCTCGCAAGTCCGCATGCCGCAGCACCAAACTGCCCTTTGCACCCGTGCTGTTCCAGCTGCAGCACATCAAGCGCCGGCCGCATCGACATGAAACCAACATGCGCCGGTGTTCGGGCATGAGTTGACTGCCCTAAACGACCCTGAAGGTCTGGTGGTGCCGTCGGCACGGGCAGGGGCGGCTGATGCTCTGCTGCAAAACATGTCCTTCTAGGTGTGGACTGGGTCTTCAAACCTAGACCTCCGGCTACGAACCCGATATCGAGAGACACGAAGAGTCCAGTAAGGAGCTCCCGATGACTACAGTGCAAACTGTATTCCTGCAAGCCTTGTGTCACGTTGCTCTTGCTCCGATAAAAAGCTGCTCGGCAGAACATGCACTCGGGACATTATTCTGGGACATGCCTCGGACCCGAACTCTGTGTTATCACGCTACGACCAGCAGCTAAAAGTTATCTCCGGTGGTCAGCTCCTCCAGGGATTGCGTTGTGCCGCCACAGATCCTGACAAGCGTTGACTAATTACCCTCTTCTTCCCATGTCTTCCGATGAAGTAACAAACCTCACCCCGGATTCCTTCAGAGAGTGCTCCCGGAGCCTCACCGTTTCTAGAAAAGAAGGCAAACTTGCTCGTTCTTGTGAGCGCCAAGGCTCTCCATCAGAAAATCAAACTCGTGTCGCAGAGTGTTGATGTAGGTCAGACCTGGATTGAAGAGCGTGGCGCGAGTTCGGCATGCAAGCATGATCCTATACTGTACCTCACAAGCCCAAAGATCCTCAAACCCTGCAGGCCAAGATCTGCTCTGCAACCGGCACACTGCCCAGTTCTGCTTGACGTTCCAGGGCACCTCCCGAGTGCTTTCAGGCTGTTGTCAACAAAAAAAACCTCGCACGAATGGCCAGCAATCACCTGCACCACTAACCCCACGGCCTGCGAGACCCGAAGCCTGAAACCCCAGCCGCCCTCTTCCAACCCAGTCCCTGCCCCATCCTCGGCCGGCGGCCACATCCAAAGCTGCACCGAGACGTGCGGATATATTGCGGAATTCGTCCGCATCGCCTCCAAAGGTGCCCCAGTTCAAGCTGCGTACGCTGGGCATTCGGGATCTGGTGGTCTTTTCAAGCCGTGAACTTCGCAAAAAAAAATTCGTAACATGCATCCGACGTCCGAAGGCATCCGTCTGTCATGCTCAGTCCAGGGGCAGAAGCTCAGCCATTTGGCGCTAGGATTGTCGTTGGTGGCCACTTCCTCAGGGACTTGATTCTCAAAGGGCTTTGTTCCTCTTCAAATTTTGTCTTGGCTGATCCGTTCCCGTTGCTGCGGCTGAAACTGCTTACTGGCGCACTCCGGTCCGGGATCGCATCCAGCAGCGCATGGCTGATCCAGTGCAGCAGCCGAAATCTTGCCGAAAGTGTTGCCAAAGCACGGACGGTGCACTCCAGAATCCTTGTCCGGACAGAAAGCTTTCAGTGCAGTGCCATGCTTCGCCAAGCCGCATCACTTTTTCCGACATCTTGCAAAAGCCAACACCTAAATAGCTCTCCGCAGGATTCGTATGATCTCCACGTTGAAAGTCCGCGACTTCTTCTAGAAAGTCCTTGGCTTCTACAGCAGCATTTGCCCGTGCTTGCAGCATATTCGAAGCTGGTGTGAGTGAGGAGGACTATCTGCATCCACTAGCTAATCACTGTCTTTGCAGACTGCAGAACCATCCCGAAGTTCATCACCCTTCATGCGCATCACATGTCCCTTGTCAGCCACTGCGTCCATATATGCCGCCGTGCTCGGCAGCGGCTCTGGCGCCTGCAAACAAACAACACAAAAACGGAGCAGTTCTTTATCCAGCTTCACTTCAACACTCTGAACTCCCGGCAGTGTGGATGGCGCCTCTGGGGAGAAGCCGAAACTCGCAGAGAAAGTGCTGTGCAATCTTGACTCATCGGTCAGGTAGTCCACAACCTGTAATGCTGTTGGTTGAATCCGACCCAGACAGCTCCAAGCAAGTGCAATCCTGCCTGTGGCATGCCTTCTCCGTTGCTTAACAACGCGTCGGCTACGAGCCGCCAAGCCGGGAGCAGAAGCATCTCTTGCTGCACCTCTGATGCTGCGATGCTTTTGCTCGACAGGAATGACCTACGCGGCATGTACGCCAGCAGCTTCTCCAGCTGCGACAAATCGTCGCCGATCTGCCGAGAGGCGAAGGTCCGGAAGTGGTACATGGAGCCGGTGCCATCCACCAAACCCTTGTAAAACGGGTGCCTTCAATGAACCACAGCAACTGGCACGAATGATGCGAAAATACAGTGATCCTAGTAATTAACGAATACTTTGCCCGCGTTCGGCTCGACATGTTCGACCACATGTAAGCCAAGATGCAGCAAGCATTGCCGCAATAATCGTCGGGACCTGAAGAAAAGGAACCAAGCAAAAACGCGCTGTCTCCGGAGGACCTGGCAACAGGAAACTTGATGCGCCAAGACACCGAGGCAAATCCCAAAACGCGTCCGACAGTGTCGCCAAGGTCACGGGGGTGGGCATTCTGCAAGTCTGTGCGGTAGCGCCAAATCAATGTTGAATGAGTTATTGTGTCCTACCCATCCAAGGAAATGTCAAACCATGAAAGAAACGGATGCTGCTTCACATGCCCAAACACTCACCCAAATGCGTACTAAACTACAGTTGGCTCTATTGTCCGATCCATGCGGGGCTTCCTGTACTGAGTTGGTAAATGGATGTTTCGGCGAACTCACTCGACAGCAAGCGGCAAGCAACGAAGCTGTTGGGGAGTATGCGTCACAGCAAAACTGTGCAATCAGAAATCAAAATCAAGAGCAGCCACATGCCGTCACGACAGCACACTCTGTCGATGCGTGCACACAGCATTCAACCGGCCTTTGGTGGCGCAGTGAACTGCTGTTTCTGATGGCTCCTTGAGCACTTGCACGATGCAGTCCGAGCCCCGGCCAAGATTTCATGAATGTGGCCTAACGCACGACGCGCGGTCCAATCGCTGGAGGTTCGAGGCTCGGACAACAGGTTTTCTTCAGACCCTCGGTAGTGGCCGCCGATGCAGTCGAGCATGACGGCAAGGAACTACATTACGGCTGCTTGCGAGCTATTTGATGGCCGGAACATGCTGAGGACAGCGCTCTCGCCAAACGAGATGCTCGACCTAGCGCAGCACTGATAAAATCGGTCATGAAAACACCCGCTCGCACACACACACACACAGACAGACAAACACATACATACACATACGTATATACATATACATATACATATACATATACATATACATATACATATACATATACATATACATATACACATACGTATATACATATACATATACATATACATATACATATACATATACATATACATATACATATACATATACATATACATATACATATACATATACATATGTGTGTGTGCGTGTGTATGTGTGTACATAATATATATATATACACATAAGGACAAAGTGTGGTACAGTAGAAGCAACCCAACACCTGTCTCGAAGCTGACATGTGAGCCTGAAGCCTCAACCGTCAACCCTATATACCCTATGCTGCACCCCAAAACTCTAGAACCTCAACACCAGAATCCCAACCAGATTTCGCATGCTGCACTGCTCACTTTACACACGAAGTCAGAAGACGGGACGCATTGGCCACAACATGCGAAGTAGCTGCGCCCCAGGCTTCCGCAGCTCGGCCCCCAAGAACTCGAAACCTGAAGGCACTAATGCTGCTGCAGCTATGGCCAACAGGAGCTATTCTTCGCAACAGTTGCGAAATGCTATAGACACTGGGTCAATTCATCCTGACGCGACTGCCACGCCGGCACACCATTGTTTCCCTGCCTTCCGGCTTCTTGCAATTGAACTTTTCGTCTTGATTCCTGCCGCACTGCGTGCTTCAACGAAATGGACTAGGCAACGAGACGCGCCTAGACATTTCTTCTGTCAATGCTGATGACCAGTGTTTGCACGACCTGATGTGCATTCTTTAAGCCATCATTGCAGCATGCGCCCCAGCACGAGGCACGAAATCTATGGCGAGTACTTAGATGCGCCGAAGGCCAGGTCGATGTGCGATGATTTCAGATCGGCACCTTGGTGGGCAAGTCATGTCCCACCCACAGGCCCACAGGTTTCGACCACATCGACTTCAGCATGGCTGCAAGAGTGCTGCGATCATACCCTGTGCATGGCAGCATTGCACAATCATGCACAGATCAAGGTGAAGCCGAGTTCCGCACCATTCTCCACCTCATCTGACCCAAAAAAAAGACTGAACCAAATCGAAACACGTGGTCTGACCACCACCCCCACCCCCCGCAGTTGCTGCAGAGACCCCCGCCGCGGCTCGACGTTGATACCTTGCGGCGGGTTGTTCAAAACACTGTCCGACCATGTCGGCAAACAGTTCAACTCCTTCTTCGATCTCTTTCATGTCCATGCGTTCTGCATGGTCCATAGCTGCGTTTGCGTCGCGTCAGCGGGAAAAAGCATCTGCAAGCGGCACTCCGAAGTACTACGTGTTGCGGAATGAGGATGGACCAGCTGGTGGCAGCAGCGCTGATGCAACCGGAACCGTTACCATTGTGCCGATTTCACTTCCTCGCTGCATGCTGCGGGCGGCCAACTCAACTTCCACAGCAGGTCTTCCTCCACAAGGCCTGCTGTACGTGTTACTAGCTGTCTTTTTGTCAGAACTTGTTCACTCCCGCCCGCGTGTTGTTGAACGCACGACAGCCTACACTGACGGGACCCTCGACAGCAAGGTATCGTGGAGAAGGTCCAACGTGGGGCCGTCGTCGCTACTTAACTTCGGCATGCCGGGCGGCCGCAACTCCGAGAAAGTCGGCGGTTAAACCTCGTCATGCTCAGCAATGAGATCGGGGGCGATGTCTGCTTGGACGTGAATCTGTTGGTAATGAAGACTTCCCTTGGGCAGGCGTAACCACGTGCCGACAGCGCTTGTGGGCTTGTCGGGAATCGTCAGGACATTGTTTCTTTTCCACGCCGCACCTTTTTACACAATGCGTGCCGGGCGTACCGTTCGAGGTCCATGTGTACCGTCTCGTACAAAGCTTACATTGGAAAAGCATCGGCGCATCGCCCACGGATCGTGCGCTAACGCTCTGTGTCTGTGTCTGTGTGGGTGGGTGGGTGGGCGGGTGGGTGTGTGGGTCTGTGGGTGTGTGGGTGTGTGGGTGTGTGTGGTTGTGTGTGGGTGTGTGTGGGTGTGTGTGGGTGTGTGTTGGTGTGTGTGGGTGTGATTGTGTGGGTGTGATTGTGTGGGTGTGATTGTGTGGGTGTGTGTGTGTGTGAATGTGTGTGTGTGTGTGAATGTGTGTGTGTGTGTGTGAATGTGTGTGTGTGTGTGAATGTGTGTGTGTGTGTGAATGTGTGTGAATG